AAAAACCAACTTTGACAAATTAACTTATTGTGTGTGAGATGGGTAATTATAATATATTTTTAAGGTTGGCAAAAAAATTATTTTAAGTTTTGAGAAGGTACTATATTATAGGATAAATGCCTGAAAACAGATAAGACTCATTGACAAAGTCAGCAGGAATGGAGACCTTTTCTCGACGACGTTGCTCTTTCTTCTAACTGAAACTTGTTCAATGCATGTTTAGCAGCTTGTCTGTTTATTTTTTCGCTCCTGATATTGTCTTCAAGTGTATCAAGTTGTGTGTTGTAGATAAACATTTGTTATTTAAAATTTCTTTCGTGGAAAAGTTATGATAGGTGCTTAAGTGATTTATAATTAAAAAATGCGACGAAAAAAAGAACACGAGTGAACAGATAATCTTCTAAAAAGCCGTCGGGCCATTTTTTTTTATTATTATTATACGAATTGTATACTTAATTAGATAATAAAACACATGTTCATGAAAATAGTTTTCCAATTTTATTTTAAGCGACTTTTAATATAATTCACCCGAAACAAGAGAAATTAAAGCCTTATACTACCTTCTGTGTTTAATATCAAAGTTAATTTGAGATTGAATTTAGTTTTAGATATAAGATTTTAATCCATTTCGTCTCTTAAGATTTTAATCCATTTCGTCTCTTAAAATAAAAAAAAATATTTTTTAGTCCTTCTAGCTAATTAGTTATTTTATTTAGGACATGTGAACATTTTTTTTGGAAAAAACTTAATTGAGTGAAAGAGTAAAGGAAGATTCAGAATGTGACGATGGTCCTGTTTGGTACGAAGCATTGAAAATGAGGGATTGAAATTGTGATTGCAATTAAAAAAATTATTAAAATAGTACTTAGTATAAGTAATTGTTTGTTATATGGGATTAGGCAAACCCATAAAGGTGGGATTGGGGAATTTCACTTCCCCCATGGTATTCTCCAATCCCACATACATGGTTTTAGCTAATCCCATATATCAAACAATCTCTTATACTAAATACTTTCTTAATAGATTTTCTCAATTGTAATCCCAATCTCAATTCATCATTTTCAATACTTCTTACCAAACGCAACCTAAGATCTTGGAGAGGGCTATCCCTACTTTCTTCCTCCTCCATTTTTATCAATTTTTCATCTCAATCATTAAAATTTAAATTTAAATGGTTCAAATTTTATAGTTTATAAAATATTTTTTTAGTATTGTTTCAAATTATCATAGCTAAAAATTAGTAGTTTAATTTTATGTTTTTAAAAAAATTAACATTTCACTTATAATTTTATAAACTAGGAAACTTGGACACTTCAAATTTTAACATCATGATTAAAATGAGAAGTGATTAGACATGAAAGCAACATGGAGAGAATCCAAGTCCCCAGAATCCAAACCTGGGAAATTTCCTTCTCGTGGCCGTGAGGCCGTGCTGGGCCCACCCGGTTCACAATAGCGGGGCCCCACTTTGCCTCCTAGGAGCTTCCTCACCTCACATTTTCTCCGCTCACTTATATTTGTCTCATTCTATAATTTTTAGAGGTGGCAATGCCCTCTACTCCAGTCCACATGATACAGATCATCCCATTTTACTATTATAGCATAGGTTGGCAAACCTGTTTTCACAAAATACGGGTTTGCACTTTTTCCGACTCACTCAAATTATGTGAATTATGAATTAATTTGGAACAGTTTATAAACAGTTTTTTAATAGTGATTTTCAAAATATGAAACAAATAAGTGAAATAAATTTTATCTCGGTTTACTCGACACACGGTTATAAAGAATTTTTTAAGTCCTTCTAAACAGGCCCTATATCAATATAGGCCATTCTATCAACTCACACTATTTTATCATAAATTTTAATAATTCACACAATATTTTGAAAAAAGAAGAAGAAGAAGGTGAAGAGGTCCTGATCACGAATTTTATTGGTTAAGAAAACCCAAATTTAACCACCGATATTTTCTGTTAAAAACATATAGTGTTTAAAAAGTTCAAATACTGATTAGGGTGGGTCTTTAGATGCTTCCATAAATTGTAACAATTCATATTACTCGTAAGGTGTAACTAACTGTTCTGGTCAAAAAAAGGCGTAACTAACTGAATAATCCGATTTTATACGCTTTTTATATTTTAGGTGTGATGCTGCTTTTTTTTTTTTTTTAACTAAAGAGAGTTATTTTGATACTTTTCTTTTATCTTTAATATAAGAGCATGATAAGTAACATACCACTATTAAAAAAATTAAGTTAATTATTTATAATAAACTAAAATATTCGTTCGGATAATATAAATTATAACAATTCGTTGATGGACCCTTACATGTCTATCTAATAACAGTGTTTTAAGAAAAAAAATTATATTTGAGAAATAAAAAATATCTTGTATTTGAAATCAAAATGAATGCTTAATCTAGCTTCATATCTGGAGCAGGATGTATTATCATATTTCTATAAACAATAAAAAATGAAGAGCTGCAGAATTTACATGGTAAATAATCAGACTGGAGATTTTAAATATTTAAAGATTTGAAGAAAATCTGAAATTAAATTAAAAAAATACAAAGTTTAAACCACGTGGGTGTCAATGTGAGAGACCGACGTTAATCATGAGCAGCAATATATATATATATATTTTAATATTTTACCCGTGTGGGGTTAATTATTTAGATTTTAGTCTGTAAAACAGATCATGCTCAACATTTTTTAAAAAGTTGAATCTTTCTCATGAAAAAAAAGAAAGAGTTGAATCCTTCAACGCAGAGTTATATTCACGCACACACGTATATGGGAGGCGAGTGTCAAAATTTTAAGTTCAGAAGGCAACCAATTATTATTAGATCACGTGCTGACTGCAAACATCCACGGTAATTAAAATATTGCCCACACATAAAATAATTCCGTGCTGAGCAAGACTTCTCTAATTTTTTTATGCCTATTAAAATTTTTCTCCTCCTTTCTTCTATTTTTCCCATACCAAATGATTAAAAATAAATTGTCCAACCCCGCTCTAAAACCACTCAACTAAGCTGGGGTTCAAAAATAAGTTTCTTTTATTTTGTTTCATTTTCATTTTCCTTGATATTGTTTCCTATATATATAAGCATTTTTTATTATAACTGACACATTCATTATACTCCCCACAAACATTCAAATTCACAGCTTTATTCTTGAAAAAAATAACAATAAATATTTAATTTCAGTTAAACTATGAAACCCCGACAATATATATATATATATATATATATTTATTGGCATTTGAACTCACAAGTCACAAGGCCAAAACACTTGAGTTTCGAATATTAAAAGAGTTTGTGGGGGAAGGCGGCTTTGCCCCGCACACGACCTTCGAGTCGATCCAGATATTAATATACTCATATTGGTCACTGTCCTTGTTACAATTTCCTCTTTTTTTTTTCTCTTAGAATTGCCAAAATCAAATTAATCCTAAATTCCGAACAATGATCTTACGGTTTTGGGCTTTGGCTACATATTGAAGGTTAAATTATCCAGTTAAGATAGGCACATGCATATTTTATAAGCGTCTGGTTGGTTGGTTTTATGTGTTTATCTGGTTGAGAAAATTTGTTTTGAAAAATACTACCTTCGGTCCTTAATTTAATATAAGACCTTATTTGATTTTTGTTTTGGTTATAAATATAAGACTCCAATCAATTTTGTTTCTCATATTTTTATATTTTTTCCAACATAATCCTTCTAATAATAATAGTTTTAGCTAATACACTTGATTAGTAAAGATATTTTAGAAAATACAATACTTATTTATTATAAATAACTAACTTAATTTTTTTTAATCTTCTCAAATTAATCAACTAGTCCTTATAGACATTACGGGAGGCAGTACAATAATTGAGAAAGTAATATATTTACTTGCGTGCATATCTTCACCATCCTCACTTTTGGGATTCAGTGAGAAATGGCCGCCAATGGATGGGGAGATGTTGATTGAAAGTTTAATTTGTTCACGACATTAATTTCTTTCCCAAATTAAATGCAAAACTTTGAAGAGCTGACAAAACCAAAATTTTAATCATAGATCATGTAGCATGCTTTTTCATAACTGGAATAGAAATAAACCAAAATTTTAATTGACAATACATAATCATTATTGAATAAATTAGGAGCAAATAAACCTAATGTTAATTACAGCCAAGTGGCTTGATGATGGCCATGAAACGGGAAAGGATGAAAAAAAACAGAAACGGAGTTGGAAACTAATTGTCCGGTCAATATTATGTGGTGAGCGATTGTTCCTCGATTGGCCCAGTCAAAATGATTGTCTGAAAATCCACGTGTCTCTCCTTTATTTCTTGTCTGCACATGTACAATTAATTAAGGTTTTTTAGTTATGTCCAACGAAATAAAACAATAACATTACAGTGTTACTCCTTAAACTTAATCTAACAGAAAAAACTCGTCTCTCACAAAATAGGATAAATATTTATATTTAGTACTTGATAAGATCTTGTATACGGTTATTCTAATAAGAAAATATCTGTAAACATCTGAATTCTGAACACTTGTGGAAGAAAGTTTAAATTCTTATAAATAACTAATAATATGAACAATGAAAAATAATAATTATAAAAGAAGAGGAGAGTGAAAGTTATATGAAGAAAATGAGAAAACAAGGACATTTTTTCCTCTAAATATTTTGTATTTATTTATATGTATAAATTTACAATTTTAATCTAATCAAAATCGATAAATTTAATGATAATAAGAGATATTATGAAATAATACAAATACAAAAATATACAATGGGATAATAACACAGTATTTATGTTCATGACATAAATAATGTTTATCTTTTCAATATAATGTAACTAACGCAGACGGGTGCAAGCGTAATTCATTAAAAAAAAAAATTGTAGAGAAATCGTAACTGTACAATATTTAAAAAATGGCCCCAACTGACAATCGTGATGATATATAAAAAGCAAATTTGCTCACCCCTTCTTCCCCCTTGTCAGAAAATTTCCGAAACAAATAAACCAAACTCAACCTCCGCCATTTTCCCCTCCAGCTTTCCAATATGACCGGAGAACACAGTCCGCCGCCGCCGCCGCCAGGTCCCGATGATCTGAAATCCCCGCTTCTCCCACTTCACGAACCGATCCGACGAACACAGTGCAGGGTGAATTCCATATTCACGCCGCAAAATTTCTATGTTGTACTGGGTCCCCTACTGGCTCTGCTCGTCAGCTTGTTCGTGAAGTTTGACGGAGCTAAGGCTAACAGCGGGAAGATGCTGGCCGTGATCGCGTGGGTGTTCGCGTGGTGGTTGACGGAGGCGGTGCCGCTTCCGGTGACCTCCATGTGCCCACTCTTTCTCTTCCCTCTCTTCGGGATAGCTTCGGCCGATAGTGTGGCCCACTCGTACATGGGCGACGTGATTACTCTCGTTCTCGGAAGCTTCATTCTTGCTCTCGCCGTCGAACGCTACAACGTACACAGAAGACTGGCCTTGAAGGTGACTCTATCTTTCTCCAGTTTCCGTCTTTGTTTCAGCTTTAATTCATCAACTTCTCTGGAATTTACTCATCAAAAATGAGAATTTCGTATCCTCAACTTCAAATTTCTTCAGAGACCGATAACTTTCCGGCGAGTTTAATCGTTAGGGGATCATGATTTTTTCCTCTATTGTCAAACTGGAATAATCTTTTTGAAAAACATATTTTGAATTCGGATATGACCGGAACAGAACATTTTCCCCTGAATGTAAATTAAAACGTGCTCAATGATGGAGAATGTTGGGGGGTGGGTTGGGTTGTGGACTGATTGGTTTTGCCTCATTCTTATCCTGGGATTTCATTGGACACTAAATTACTAGCTTGTGCCTTGTATAGCAAATTAACTAATGGAAGAGGAAAGTTAAAATATATTTAATGAAAAGGAGGCTAGAGATAAATGTTGCCATGGTGGAACATGATGATGAGTGGGGTGATTGGGCTAGTGATAGGGATGGCAATAATAATTGGATCGGGCTAATGACGTGGCGGTGCAGGTGACGATGGTGTTCTGCGGCGAACCTCTGAATCCGCCACTATTGTTATTAGGACTGTGCGCGACGACATTCTTTGTCAGCATGTGGATGCACAACGTGGCGTCGGCGGTGATGATGATGCCGGTGGCCACGGGGATCCTGCAGAGGATGCCGCCGAAGGAGGAGCAGTCGGCCGCCGTCAACAAGTTCTGCAGGGCGGTGGTGCTGGCGGTGGTGTACGCGACGCCGATCGGAGGGACCAGCACGCTGACGGGGACAGGTGTCAACCTCATACTGGTGGGGATGTGGAAGAGCCTCGCCCCGGGGGCTAAGCCAATCAGCTTCAACAATTGGTTCTTCTTCGGATTCCCTGTAGCCATTCTCATCCTGTTCTCCTTCTGGTCAATCCTATGCTTGCTCTATGTCCAGAGAGGCTCGGGTCGGGCGTTGGCTCCGTACTTGGATAAAACCCACTTGAAGAGGGACCTAGAAGCCCTGGGTAAGTTCCTGATATGAAGTATGAACATCCATTCCCTCTCTCTATGTTCCTGTTCCTTTTCTGGTGGCCAAGGGAAGAAGGAAAATATACTTTTAAAAAAAGGGGAGAAAAGTCTTGTCTGGACAAGCAAGTATTGTTGGCATGCATTTCTTTGGTCTTTAAAGTATTAATCAATTCCAAATCCCTATCTGCTTTGAATCTCAATCTGATGGCCGCGTAGAATCTTGGCTTCATTGATGAAGAACTCTGCCACGGCGGTGTTGACCCGACCGAATCAGTGTTACCATCCCTTAATTTTTAATTATTTTTTTTAAATAATAAATTTTGTGGATTGCATTATTTTTGGGTGAAGTGTTAAGAAATGGCCATAAGTTAAAAGCTTACGTGGAATATATGTGTTTGGAAATTGCAGGCCCGATGAATTTTGCTGAGAAGATGGTGCTGAGCATCTTTGGGGTGGGTTCTGAAATTAGAATTTATTGTTTTGCTTTAATTTAATAAACTTGTGGTATGGAATAATAAGAATAAAAGATTATAGCACTGTGGAGGAGTTAATTTTAGTGACGGGTAAATAATGAAGAGAATAATGAATGCAGTTGCTGATAATCCTGTGGATGACGAGGAGGATCACAGACGACATTCCTGGATGGGGAGCTCTCTTCGATGGTCTCGTCGGAGATGGCAGCGTCAGTGTGAGTATTCTTTCTATATATTTTTTTGTCTCATTTTTAAAGTATTAATTTTGTTCTAAAATTCTCCTTTGATGAGGTCCTGAGCCTTTAAAACTACATCACACAATATTTCCAGATCCAATATTCCATTAGGAGGCGTAACGTAACCATACTCTCTCAACCATGAAATTATATAAAATTTCTCCAATTATCAAATTTTTTTATTAAAAATCGCCATCAATCTTTTTCGCCCTCAAAAATAATACCTTCGTCTCGGTTTCTCTTTCAGCCTTATCACTCTTTCGAGACCATGATAAAGCTCATAATTAATTTGTCCTACGCAGTGTAGTTTCTATCTGGTTCAGGTTGTTCCCAGATCCAATTGGAGAAATCAAAATAAAATTAAACCCCTTTCGTATTTTTTTTTCCTTTTTTTTGGGGGGGGGGGTCCGATGCAGGTTCTGGTGGCAGTGTTAATGTTCATAATACCAAACAAGAAGGGAGAAGGAGAGAAGCTGATGGACTGGAACGAATGCAAGAAGCTGCCATGGAAGCTGATCTTACTTCTGGGAGCCGGCTTCGCCTTAGCCGACGGCGTACAATCCAGCGGCTTAGCCGACGTGCTGTCCGGCGCTCTGAGTTTCTTGGAAGACGCGCCGTATTGGGCCATAGCTCCGCTGGTGAGCCTGATGAGCAGCATCATAACGGAGTTCATAACGTCCAACGACGCCACGGCGACGTTGCTGGTCCCATTGCTTTACCACATCGCACGCACCATGCACGTGCACCCGCTCCTGATGATGGTTCCCGGCGCCATGGCCACCGAGTTCGCCTACTGGCTCCCGACATCCACCCCCTCCAACGTCGTAGGTTTCGCCACCGGTTACATTGACATCCAAGACATGCTCAAGATCGGTGTCCCTCTTAAGGTTGCCGGCATCGCTGTCCTCTCCTTGCTCATGCCCACTTTAGGTACTTCTATCTTCCGTCCTTCTCTGTCCCCCACCCCCCCTTCGCGATCTTCTTGAGAATCTCAACAACCTGATTCCTCTGTTTTTGAGTTTTGCAGGAGCACTTGTTTTCGGAACATCTGATGGCAGTCAGTGGAACGACGTCATAGAATCTCGTTGGATGTCGCGAACTTGATTACGCCTCTTTTTCCTTCCTGATGCTCCCAGAACGGTCTTCGGTGAATAAATTTTGAGGGCGTTGATCATTTCCACAGAAGATTCTTTATCCAAGAGATGAAGAGAAGCTCAGAGTGTACATGGAGTGGCATTATAGTGCCAGATTATATTCAGGCAAGTACAAATACCATCTTGTAATATATGCCATATCAGCCGGAGATGTTCATCCGTTATCTGTTGTGTTGTATTTTCCTCCACAAATATTAATGAATGAGAAGTGTTTTATAGTTTAAGAGTTATTCAATGGATTTTGTTCTGTTGATTCAAACATAGCTTCCACTTTTTTGTTATTGGAACGCTGTACATAATTGAATTTACGTTTGATCGACATAGGATGACCATATTTATTATGAGAATAGCTCCAGTACTTATCATCTTGATGACGATTCTAAACTCATAAGGTCTAAACTATCCATATCTAATTTCAACAATCCAAATTTAAAATCTTTAATTATTTATTTTTAAATATAAAAAATATTTTTTAAAGAATGATAGTTAAGAAATTATTTATATATTGGATTCTATACCTATTAAAATAATTATTTTAAATAAATAAGAATATAAAAAATTAAATCTGAACCTACTCAAAGTGTTTTCGAAAATCACTTTTCCACAAAACGAAATAAACTCCTTCACATATTTATTTTATATATCGTAAAAGCATTTATAAAACTATGGTTTGGTTTTTATCTAAATACCTCCTAGTTCAGATATGGATGGTCCAGATTTTAACAGGTGATTACTCATTACAAATTATATGTTGTTGAGATAAATGAGACAAAGACACGAGCTTATCCGGCTCACATGGCATGGCCAGAAGTGAAAATGTCTCTCTCTGTACATCTCTAACTTGTGAGCCGCTTCATCCAAAGTATCTAAAACACTACTAGTACACACGGGGAGGTTGTTGTAGATGTATAAACCCTAAATGAGCTTTATTGATGTGAAGTCAATTATTGGTTGGAGCTTGGGGGATGGATGAAGACCACCAATAATGGAAGTGGTTGGGGGATTAAAAAGCAGGGAGAGCAGGGACCATATGGGGTTCCATCACCAAACTGTGAAGAATATATATATGCCCATTTATCTCCTCAAATACTTGAGTCTGATCAGCCGTTATCATCCTTAAGCTAGCGTTTCGCTCAACAGATACAAAATAAAATCTTCAGTCCCTCAAGTGGCATATCTTAATTGTTGTGTTGGTATTTAAAACTTAGTTTTTATTAATCAAGTTCTTAGAAGTTCCATAACCACCTGCGGTTAGTTCTTGTGGTTAAAAGAGAGAGAACACTTTGTAACCAAAAAAAAAACAGAGAGAGAGAACACTGCGAGGATTATGCTGACACGGGTAACGAGATGATGAGTTGGGAGACACAAGAATCTAGAGTCAAAACTTTTCCGCGAGGGCATCATAATTGCCTCCAGTCTTCACTGGTTGCTCCTTCATCATCACGCATTCTCTCTTTCGTTGTTTCTTTGTCTCGGAAGTTAAAAGACGAATTTGAGGGGGCCAAAGTCGAATTTAGGGAGTAAAAATTAAACTTTAATCTAATTTAAAATATAAGTTAAATTTTATTCATTATATTTATCAAGAAACTAATTAAAATCAATTTAAAATAATAAATGTGTAGGGTATATATTTGTTTTTCCTAATATACTCTTATTAATGAAGAGAATAAATAAAAGATATAATAAATGAATTAAAGAAGAAAAAAATATATGTAGGTAAAATTAGAAAAAAAACCTATTAAATGCTCAGATAAAAATGAATGTTATCTTATAAAAAAATAGCCTTTTTAAAAAAGTTTAGCTTATATTTTGAACCAAACGAAGTAAAAACTAAATCGCTGACTAAAACGAACTTGAAGAAGGACTAAAGAGGTATTTAGATGGAAATCAGACCATAACTTTAAAAGTATTTTTACGATTTATAAAGTAAATATGTAGAAGAATTTAGTTTGTTTCGTAGAAAAATGTTTTTCAAGAATTGTCAAACACCCCTTCTTTATCTCGTTGTACAAGTCTCGCCGTGATTCCACACTCGTGGTATCCCTACGTACTCCATTTGATTTGCTCATTATTAGGCTGATCCAGATTTATTTTTTTAAAAAAAAATTAATTATATTCCGGTTGGATAAAATTTCAATTATTATCTCATATTTTTAATATAAGAACTAGTTTGCATTCAATCTGATTCTAAATATAATGTTTTAATCTATTTTATCTTTCATATTTATCTATTTTTTTCAAAGTAATCATTGTAGTAATTGTACGTGTTAAGTTTTAGTTAATACACATAATTAGTAAGTATTACTCTATTTCCTATTATAAGTCATTTGTATCCTAAACCCGTAAATCAAGAAATACATTAAATTAACCAGTTTTTTTTCCACATTTACTTTTATTAAAAGCTGAGAGAGAGGAGGGGGAGGGAGGAGATGGATTGCATAAGAAATGAAAAGTTGAAAGAGAGAGATGGAGAGGAAGAGGAAGAGGAACGTGTTTCAAGGAGCCATTATTTCACACTTAAATTAATTAATTTTTATTAAATTAATAGGGGTAAAATTGAAAAAATATCATTAATTATATTACAAGTGATTTATATTTTGAAACAAACTTTTGGAGTATAAGTGACCTGTAATAAGGAATAGAGTGGTATATTTTAGGAAAGACAATACATATTTATTATAAATAACTAACCTAATAATTTTTTTAATTCACTCAAATTAATCAACTAATTCTTATATTCTCTCTTTGCCGTATAGATAAGACTAAAGGAGTAGTGCACAAAATAAAAAAAATTAAAAAAAAAAAAGAAGAAATCATTCATAGGTCCCAAATAAAAAATTAAATACAAATCGGTTTTGTGAAATTTAATTTAATAAAACTATCCATGTTTAATTTTCCCACTTGACGAGTTTTTCAAAGAAAAGGAAACGCCTCCATAGCCGAAAGCTTTTTATTCTAAAAATTTTATTGGCTTGGATCATTCTTCTGGTAACGCTTCCGTCTTTTCAAAAGCCCATGGACTATTAACCAGGCTCATTCTCTTTTTTTATTTTCTTTTTCTTTATTTGGGGTGTGGGCTGTCAGTATTGCAAAATATTGGACTAATTATGAACTTGGATCAGTCTTGAGAATCTTAAGGTCCCTTGATCCATTAACTTGGTCCATTATCCTTTTAAATTTTGTTTTTCATTGTTTCCTTATGAATGGAGTGGGGTTGTGGGCCACCACCACGGCATATGGGGAGCTGCATGGCAATAAAATTTTAAAGTGAAATATGTATCAACTTCTATAAATACATTTTTAAAATGAAAATATTAAATGTGAGAAAAATAAAAAATAAATTGAATAAGACTGGTGAAAACCAATACTCCTCCGATCCTTATTATAAGACCCAATTTGACTTTTTATTTGGTCCTAATTATAAGACCCAATCCATTTTCTCTTTTATATTTATACATTTTTTTCCAAGATAATCCTTTTAATAATGATAGTTTTAGCCAATATACTTAATTAGTAAGGATATTTTAGGAATAACAACATTTATTTATTATAAATAACCAACTTAACTTACTTCCTTAATCTCCTCAAATAAGTCAATTGGGTCTTATAATTAGGACCGGAGGAGTATTTAGCATTTATGATAAAAAAATCATATCTACTACTTATTGGGTCCTGTTTATAGAGCATCTGTAAGATGGATTAAAAAAATCTTAAATTTTATTAATTTTATATTAAGATATAAAATTTTTCAATTTTAGCTTTGTTTAATATATATTTTTTAAAGAAGAGCACAAGAATTGTTAAAAATTTGATGATGTGAGTTAAGGGGGAAAAAAAAGCTTTTTCTCATTACCTTATAAACATGATTGGAAGAATAATATTTCATCTGATTCATTTTATAAGAGCTTAAAATTTCAATTATTTTGATTTTTTTATAAGATCTTGAGTGTGATTATCTGAAATTTAATATGTTTTGTCGTTTTTTACATTTAATTAATTTTATATATTACGTTAATTAAAAAGCTGATAACTTGATTTTTTAAAAATACTTTCTCTTTCTCTCTCTTTCCTCTTATAAATGAGGATATATTTAGAAAAAGAATTCATTAATGGCGTAATTTGATTATTAGGTGAAGGAGGACCATGGGAGTAAAAGCAGAATTCGAGAGGTATTCATCAAATAATAAATGACAATGACAGACAAGTCAGCAAGCAAACCGCGGATGGCATGATTACAACGCAGTCTTAGCTGGCACGGAAAGAGAATAATGTATTTACAAGAATCTAAATTCAGAGACACGTATTTTCTCACAAGTAAAGCAACGAGGTGACAATGCGACGCGTATTGTGTCATTGGATTGGAATTTGGAGGGGTTATCCTCCCCACCAAATTTCCCATTTATTGTGTCTGCCTTGGTGGGTGGTTTCCCATGTCTTTTTGTGTTCTCCCTTGCTTCCTTCCACATTTCCTCCATGCCTCCCTCTCTCACTCTTATTTCCTTTTTTTTAATTTTATATATAAACTCCAAATAATTAAAGGGAAAATCCCAAAAAAGGTCATTAAAATATGAGAAATGCCATATTGGGTCTTTAAATTTCGAAAATGACAGAATGGGTCATTGACCTAATCTGTCATTTGTGAAATTCAGGCGAATTGACAATTTTGCCCTCATTTATTCATTCACTAGAATGATTCAAGGAATCATTATAAGAGTTTAGGTGTTACCTAGATTCGTGTAGCGAATAACTACTCACTTTTTCATAGTCAGGTGTCTTGTTATTAACTACAATTAATTCTGTAATCACTAGAACAATGTAAGCATTACCTAGATTTGTGTAGAAAATAACTACTCATTTTTCCATAGTCAGGTATCTTATTATTGTCAGGTACCTTATTATTAACTACAACGAATCTTGTAATCACTAGAACAGTGTAAGCAATACCTAGATTTGTTTAGAGAATAACTACTCACTTTTGCTCAGGGGCAAAAATGTCAATTCGCCTGAATTTTACAAATGACAGATTGGGTCAATGACCCATTCTGTCATTTTCAAAATTTAAGGACCTAATCTGGGATTTAGTATATTCCAGGGGCTTTTTCTGGGATTTTCCCATGATTAAATCAATTAAAAATAATAAATAAATCATAAATATATTTTTTTAAAATTATACTCCTCCGGTCCTAATTATAAGACCCAATTGACTTATTTGAGGAGATTAAGGAAGTAAGTTAAGTTGGTTATTTATAATAAATAAGTGTTGTCATTCCTAAAATATCCTTGCTAATTAAGTATATTGACTAAAACTATCATTATTAGAAGGATTATCTTGGAAAAAAATGCATAAATATAAGAGACAAAATGGATTGGGGTCTTATAATTAGGACCAAATAAAAAGTCAAATGGGGTCTTATAATAAGGACCGGAGGAGTATTTATTAAGAGAGTAAATGAGAAAAATGATAAATAAAAAAATAAAAGAGAATATATAGAAGTAATATCAATAAGAGAGAGAGTATTAAATATAGACAACTAATACAAAAATAATAAGTGTTCGGATAAACTTAAAAATAAAACTTATACATAAGATCGGAAGGAATATTAGTTATTTCTCCTCTCTTTTTCTTTTCCTCTTTTTTTAATTTGCAACTCTATATGTCGGTGGCCAAGGCAGCTGCCTTTATCTTTTTTTTTTTAATTATTAAAAACAATAATCCAGTACATCTCGTCTCTAAATGTAAGAAACAAATTCTTTTTATTTAACAATTTGAATTATTTTTCTATTTTTATTCCCATTAAATATATATACTCCTTATTATTCCCGTGCAGTAAGCTTTTATTCATTATTTTTCATGTACTTTTTTACAAATAAGGGTAACTGCATAATTTGATAAATTGATAACTTAATTGATTATTATTTGAATTTCGCATATTGTATTATTATTATGTTGACAATTAAACTTATTATGAATTTATTTTATATACATATATTATAATGCATATAGTAATTTTTATTTCATTATTTTATCACCGACCTGACAAGTTTAATCAGTTAAACCATGAGAAAAGTGGACTATTATTGTCCTTTCCAATTCAGTAAAAGCATTTATTTTAGTTTGTAATTCTCCCATTTTTAAAACGATTTTTATTTATTGTTTTGGATCATTCCTTAGCCCATGGTTTTGGGCCCATCTTTTCAGTAGCCCATGCCCCACGCTACCTTGTCTATTCTCCCAACTAGTTTAGAAGCAATCGCGATCTCGATCAGATCCAACGGCTACTATTTGACGTTAGGGTGACGCGCTTTCACCCCCGTGGTGTGAGATCTGTCAATCTTCTGCTATAAATTGAACATTAGCGTTTTCTTCAACTCTCAAATACAGAACCTTCAAGAAGCAGAATCGCGTCGAATAGACGGTTGCCATGAGACTTCTTCACGGCCTTATTCTCTTGCCTCTGTTCTTGCTCCCGCTCGTCGACGTCGCCGACGGCAGAGGGGGAGTGATTGTGGGCGGGTGGACGCCGATAAAGGACCTGAACGACCCTCACGTGACGGACATCGCGAAATTCGCGGTGTCGGAGTACGACAAGAGAAGCGGAGCGGCGCTGAAGTTGGATAAGGTGGTCAAGGGAGAGACGCAGGTGGTGGCCGGCACGAACTACCGGCTTGTGCTGACGGCGAAGGCAGGATCGTCGTCGGCGTCGCAGAAGTACGAGGCCGTTGTGTGGGAGAAGCCGTGGGAGCATTTCATGAACCTGACGTCGTTTAAGCCTGTTCATGGATAAGACAATGCGGATTTCGCGCCTTCATCTTGCAGGGCGGGTTTGATCTGTGTATTATAATTATATGTATTCTCCAATCTGTATTATTTAAATGCCTATGGGAATAAACAGGTTTGAGAAGTGGGAATATGCAGAGTGTTTGGTGATATTTCATAGCAATAAAGATGTTTTTGTGTTCTTTGGAGATCCTCGACTGGTTTAGACTCCAGAACAATCTGGATTTTCACTGTTGTTTCTGTGAATCCCAGTATTGGGCCCTTTTTGCTTCAGTAGATCAAATAATTTTGCAAGCACTGATCAGATTCAGTTCTAAAACAAGCAGCTAGTTTTAAATAGCTCTTGAAAATAGAATTATATGCAATATAATAAAAGAAATAAAAAATAATTTCTCAAGCACGACTCACTTTATTAATTGAAGATTCGTGTTTATAGATCGATATTCTTATTCACGCCTTCTTTTCTCATACACCTCACGAAAACCATGTCTGACTTTTAAGTAGTTTTTTTTTTTAGTCTGATAATATCTGCTTCCTTTTGTGTGTGTGACTGTGTGTAAGTAGTCTTTGGCTAAAGCATGTACGGAAAAGGAGCAAGAATCACAACCTTAAAATCCATCCATTTTAATACATTATGCATGGCTCAGAAACTTTGAAAAGAATTAATTGCCTTTCTAAGTGACTGAAGGTGTGGGGTGGAATACAAAGCATTACTCGCTAACTCATTTTAGTAAGCGGAGAATTAGTTGCTTAAAAGGATGATATAACAGCAGAACTAATTTCTCTTTATCTTCATACAATTAAGATTAGAGGAAATTTGACATGTTTCCTTCTTTTTCTTAGTGGTTAAGATTAAGGTTTAACAGTTTAATATCTTATAATTGAGTGCTTTAGAATTTAAGATACTATCTCTGGTTCTAATTATAAGAGCCAAAAAGTAAGTTGAGTTAGTTATTTGTCTTAAATAGGTGTTGTCTTTTCTAAAATATTCTTACTAATCAAGTGTATTGATTAGAATTATCATTGTTAGAAGGACTAATTTGAAAAAAAAAACATAAATATGAGAGATAAAATATTGGGGTCTTATATTTAGAATCAAAATAAAAGTCAAACAAGGTTTTATATTAATGATCGGAGGTAGTATTAGAATTTAGGATTTAATATTGAAGGGTTGGGCAAATGGTAGAATTCAATTATTGAAGTGTCAAGATGAGAGAGTTTAGGAATTATTAGTGGTCTGCGTTTATGTTTCAAGCAAATTAGGCTTTCATAATTCACTATTTACAGTCAAGAAATCAGGACGGCGACTTTTTAATACTTGAAAAATTGGTGTTTATGATTTGGTTTCTGAGATTTCTTTTACCTGCAATTTAGGTTTATTAGTCGAATATTTAACTTTTAAGGCTTTGAGCTGGGCTTGAAGATTTTTTTGTCATGTTAGTAGACAAGGTGGGACTAATTATGCTGGGTTTTAAATTTTTAATAATTGAAATTACAGTTAAAAGAATTAATATTTGTCAATTTTATTTGCTTGTTGGACCCTGGTCAAGGACACCAATGGATTTCCAGGTCGACTTGCGCAAGTCACGGTACCTGATTGAATGACGGTCTTGATTTCGGTATGCCTCAAAAGTCAAACTCAATAGTGACCCCTTTCTTTTCATGGCCAAGAAAAGTTGTTTTCCCCTGTTATTTCATTTTTTTTGATAGGGCTAGGCCTGTGGAGATGATTTTGTTAGTACATTTATTTTAATTTTTAACAATTTTTGATCTAATACTTTTATATTTTCCTTGATTGAATTTTTATTTTTATTCAAGGACTAACAATATTAACTGGAATAAAATTAAAAAAAATTAATTATAAGGAAAAAACTTAGATGCATCAAATCTACAATTAAAAAAATAAAAATACCTGTAAAATGGTTTTCTTTTTTGCTATGAATGATTTGCTTGTGGATAGGGAAGGCAAAGTGACAGCAGGTTATTAGTTGTATGACACACTTGTTAAATAAATAGATAATTTTAATTTAGTACTCGTAATTGCAAAAATGACGTGAAAAAAAATAAAAATTGTAATATTATAATTTAGATATTTAAGAGGTTAAAATTTCAAGAAAAAAATTATGACTTATATTGTATTTTACAAGTATAGTTAAATGACAAAAATGTCATTCTATCAAAAAATTTATTAACAAATTGTGAACTAATAATAAGAAATATCAAATAGCAAATGACAAGAAATGTATTAAAATAATAAGATATTTATTTATAAATTATAAACTGACAATAACAAGTATCGAATAACTAATAACAAAAAATATATTAATAATGACAAATTTGATAATTTTTTTGAAAAACTTATGCAAAGACATTTTACTCATTTGACTACTTTTATAGAATACCAAATCAAGCATCACTTCTTCTAAAATTTTAATCTTTTATGTGTATAAATTGGAATACTGCAATTTTCGTGTCATTTTCTCCTCATAGTTTTGAAACAGTCAACTTTGTGTCAGCCATCATGAATTAACCTCTCATTATTTCCCAAAATTTTCTGCCACCCACAATCATAGTTGTCATGTCTATCATGCCCGTCTAATGCATGGAATGGACTAAATACATCATCTCACATCCTTATAGTGCTTTGATCGTTTTATTTATTGTTCAAAACAATCAAAATTATGCATTTTTACCCAAATTAATTTTTTCCCCAAAAATGTACAACCTCTTGTGATTTTATTGACTAACTTAAAAAGATTAAAAAAATTAATTAAATTAACTATTTATAATGAATAAGTATTGTCTTTATTAAAATATTATTACTAATAATATAAATTAGCTAAAATTACTACTTGATGAAAATTTTAACTTGATAAAATCTTTAATATATGCAACTATTGTAAGTACTATTTAAAAAAAAGATAATATGAAATATAAAGTGAATTAAAGTCTTATATTTTAAACTAACTCTTATATTAAAAATGGAATGAAGTATAATTTGTCAATGCTTGAATAAGATTCTATCAATGTCTAATTGCCTTCTTTCACTAGGCTGATTGTATAAGCACAGTGTCATGCTAAAAAATTTTAACTTTAACGATTAAGGTGTATATATCATTCTGAAATATATTCATAGGTGCATATGACACTATGAAGTATTTTATGGTTTATTCAATAATTTAATCTTTTTTCGCTTTACACCAAAAAATATTTTTTAGCGTTGGACGCATTCAAAAAAAAGAAAAGAAATGCAAGATACACTAAAAAATACTTTAGCAATAAAAAATACACTAAAAAAGATGCGCCCTGCCTTTAATGAGTGTTTATATTTAATCTCATTTTTTCTTCGGTTTGATTCATAATATCGGCAATAACAAGGGCAAATGTTTTCCTCCCTAAATACTCTACGGTAAACGGAATCCTCTTCTGCTCGTTTCCTGAAGCCGGGGAAGTAATTAGAAATTTGAATCAAATTGACGGTTGCCATGGGACTTCTCCGCAACTCACTCCTCCTCCTTTCCCTGCTCTTCGTTCCTCTCTACGCCGTCGCCGGAGGCCGTGGTCCCTGGCGGATGGACACCGATAGCTAATATCGAAGAGCCGCACGTGACGGAGATCGCGAATTTCGCGGTGGAGGAATACGACAAGAGAAATGGGGTGAAGCTGAAGTCGGAGAAGGTAGTGAAGGGAGAGACGCAGGTGGTGGCGACGACGAAGGATGGATCGTCGTCGGCGACGAAGAATTACGAAGCCGTTGTGCGGGAAAAACCGTGGGAGCATTTCCGGAACCTTACTTCGTTTGAGGCCGTTGAAGGGTAGATCACAGATCGGACAATTTAGATTTCGCTTTATTTCTCCCTTCTAACTCATTTCATCTGTTGTTTCTATGATCGCGTTTAATCTGTAAAATTATAATTTGCCGTCATCACGCCGCCACACGATTTCGCATATTAATAACTGGTAAAAGCCCGGCACATTGCACAAGTTACGTAAATCTATAACAGTCATTATAAGTTGAACAATTATAAAATACGTTTTATTAGGAAAATTATTATGAAATTCTAGTAAAAATATAACTACTAAAAAATTATTATGAAAATTTATAATTTTTTATTCTGAAAGTTGTCATTAAATAATGTTTGTTATTATTAATCATGTTTCTTATTTTATAGAATCAGTAATTACTGAAAGCTTTCGAGTTTCGATATGGACATGATGATTTTAGTAGAAATGACGGCGCGATTTGCTAACAACATTTATAAAAGGAAAATTGGTTAAAAAGAAAAAAAAGTAGAAAAGACCGGTGGATGGGGAAAAGCATGGGAAGAAAAATAGTGGACGACCATGAGGGACAAAGTCGGTTCACGAGGAGCAAGTCAAGGGGTCCTACAGTGTAATTATGGATAAGATCAATTTAATCTGTACCCCAAATTTTATATTAATTAATAATAAAATCATTAAGATTTTTTAATATATATATATATATAGGATCCGTTTTTTTAATTAAAGTACTTAATACTCCTCCGGTCCTTATTATAAGACCTAATTTGACTTTTTATTTGGTCATAATTATAAGACCCAATTCATTTTCTCTCTTATATTTATGTATTTTTTTTCAAGATAATCCTTCTAATAATGATAGTTTTAACCAATATACTTAATTAGCAAGGATATTTTAGGAATAACAACACTTATTTATTATAAATAACCAACTTAACTTACTTCCTTAATTTCGTTACCGTGCCTGTAGGCAATTAAATTAGACGGACCTCTCATATACAGAATTTGATTAACAAGTCATATTTTTATAATTCTTGAACAACTGTGTTCAATTATAGATTTTACATTGAAGATGATATATCGATTTATTTTGATGTGAATATTGATTTCTTTTTTTAAAGCACAGGTACCATACTATTAGATTGGACATTAAATATTAATACTTTTTTAAGTGATGATTCCAACCTTGACTACTTCTGTTTTAAAAAAACTAGTTTTTTCTACTGGATTTAATTTCCATTAGTTGTGAATAGTGATACTTTTTTATTATTGTTGTTGTTCAGAGTATCTTTCCACTCGAATGATAGGAGACTAGTCTTTCAGGGTACTGTCAGGCGCCCTAGAGAAGACTCCTCCTAATAGTATTTCTTTTATGCACACCATTCTAAGAATCAAACCTATAACATAATATTTAAGGTGTCTAAGTCCCTTCCACTTAGACTAACACTTAATGGTTTGAACAGTGGTACTTGATGACACTGAAAGATGAACGGGCGTCAATATCTGAGTGGGCGCGCTGGTTTGGAAGCTGAAGGTCCACCCACTTGCCAAGAGCTCGAATCTGACACAGGGACAAGCGAAGAGATGGAAGGTAAAGGGGTCAAAATGGCCAATCGATGTTTTTTGCAATAAAAGCAGCCGACGTTGGTTGGGCCAATACAAGTATTGGGCCTAACCGTCTTGTCGGGCCTTTAATACCGCAGAGGAAAATCAAGAAATCTTAGGTTCCCATCCAAACTTTTGTTGCCGAACAAAACTGCAATACAAATCATGCGAGAGACGTAATGTGCAGTATTTAGTAAAAGAGCTATGAATAATGGATAAGGACGTTAGAGTGTGTGTGTGTGATGGGGATAGAATAGAAGCATGTGAGTGTGAAGCTGGAAAGAAGCTTCTCACTTGGGAAAGGGATTAGTCCCTTTAGCGTTCAAGTTGATGTCCTTTTCCCTCCTCATCCTGTCTTCATTTAATTTCATCAAACCTCAATACTCCCAACATTTCTCACTCACACATATTTCCCCACTTTCATTAATTGTCAGTTTGTCACTCATGCCCATACCATAAAACCAGCAGAAACTAGTAATGCCACCGATGATATTGACGGCTTTAAATATAAGATTTTAATCCATTTTGTCTTTTAAATTTGTAATATAATCTTAAAAATATCCTTATTGATTGTAAGGTATTTCTACCCGAGTATAGCTTTAATGTACATGATTGAATAAGGCTAGTTTAATAAAATCAGCACATATTTATTACGAATAACTAATTTAATTATTTTTTTTAATCTTTCCAAATTCATTATTTAGCACTTATATTAAAAATCGGAGGTGATATACTGCTTTCAATCCTCATTACAGGGTAAAGTTAACTTACTTCACAGTTCTTAAGAAATATTAGTTGATATCTTTAAATTTATAGAAAACGTTTATTTTTTGGTTATTAAAAATTAATAACCATAATAAAATGTTGTCTGGGGATTAAAAATATACCAACAACTAGTTGTGATCGGGAAGGAATAAGATTGGAGGACAATTTAATCTAATTATCACATTAGGACTAGTTGGGATTTTAAAATTTTTCCCTAAAATGAGAACCACAAGGACTATTCTACATCTTTTTTGTTTTTTGCCAACGAGTATTCTACATCTTTTGAGTTTTTATCTTTAGGATAAATAACAAGTACACAGCCGTTGCTAATTCTTTTTTTTTTTCATAATTTATTCCAACTCCTGTCTTTCAGTTTTTTCTAATACGTAACTCAATGCTGAGAAAATAAGGAGACGTGACAATAAGTATCTTATGGCTTAGGCCTTAGGGCAAATTGTCAATGTCAGCCCAACCCAACCCCACAAACACGTGCGCATGCATGTTCCTTTTAAATTTTTCCTAAATATTATTTGTTTTATAATAGTGGTAATACTCCTCCTATTCTAAATATAAGACCCAAATTATATTATAAAATAGGTTTTATATTTAGAATTAGAAGAATATTTTCCAATATTTCTCCTGTGATAGATTGATTTTATGATTACAATGAAGATTTACTATGATTTAAATTTTTAATTCCATTTAATATTTCAGGTTAGTTTTAACTTAATATTCCATCATGTAAAAAATAAGGAATGACTGTTACATATATATAATTTAAAGACAATTATTTTTTTAACTCTATCATTTTCTTAAAATAATGCATCCTTAGTAACCAAAATGATTTTTTTTTTTTTTACTAAAGTATAAGTATCTTCCTACTGGAGACAATCCTATTCGAGACACTGTCGGGCACTAAATTCCCACGTTGTGAGGAACTAGCTCCTTTCGTTAGACCCAACCCCTATTAGTTACCAAAATGATTTTTTATTGATAAGTTTATTTTTCGTATTTTTTATAAGGTTGGCCCAATGAATGCTTTGGGCGGGCATTACGTGGGGCTTAAGCCTAACTCGAGCGGATCATATTCATAATCACAAGTCCAACATCCAAATTGAAATTGAAATTATACTAATATAACAAAAAAAAATCATCATTATTGTCAATTTTAATTTGTAATTTTTTTTACAATTAAAAAACTACACGCCTCAGATTTTTACCAACCTGGCAAATGGCATAGGGTCCGTTTCTTAGGGTATATGTCTCTCCGGGCACCTTCTTCTTCAGTGCCGTTTATATTTTATTTTATTGGACGAAGATATTTTCCAACAGTACACTTGCTTTGTACAAACAAGTAACTTCATTCCAATGCCAAATATCAACATCATGATCCATGACCTGTCAGTTTTTTTTTTCTTTCACAGCCTGAATTGTTCTACATTTTATTTTATTTCTTGACTATATTTAGAACTTAGAATTTCATTGTGATCTCAGCTTAATTTTCATTATAAAATTCCTTTGTTTCTTTCTCTTACACCACCAAAGGCGTGTCAAAGATACGGGAATTTGGTTCCATCCAAGAAGAAATGGACAACAAGAGAGAAACATAGGAAAGCAACTCAGGGATGTTAGAAAATGAAAAGAGGGATTGGACTTCAACCACCAAAAATTGTTGGAAAAAAAATCCTATTACAAAATTTATTATCCAGATATATTTGAGGACTCAACTCTTTGTGTGAACCAATCTTATATTTACAAAGGGCAATTCTTCTTCAACTTAAGATAGGTTATTCATAATATAAAAAGAATTATACTACTTTCGGTCTTGAATATAAGAGTTAGTTAACTAATTTGAGTAAATTAAGAAAACAGGTTAAGTTAGTTATTTATAATAAATATGTGTTGTCTTTTTTAAAATATTCTTACTAATCAAGTTTATTAGTTAAAATTACTATTATTAAAAGGACTATCTTAAAAAAATAAATAAATATGAAAGATAAAGTGAATTGGGATCTTATATTTAGGACCAAAATAAAAGTCAAATGAGGTCTTATATTAAGGATCGGAGGTAGTACCAGATAAAGATAGATTATTATACTTGGCTTCGTAAACAAGTTTTAGAAACCTTTGAACAGTAAATTTTGGAATGGGAATACTTTTAGCAAATTTTCTTTTAATAAGCATTATGTACGATGGCAAAAAAAGAAGAAGTAATTTTGCAAATAATATAAGTGCGGCTAGGAAAAAAAGTTCAATCATAATAAAAATATATTTATGGGATATTAGAAGTTTTAATATTTGATATTTAAAAAAAATAAATAGTGCCATTTTAATATTCGCAGTTTATCCAATAAACCAGAAACTAACTCGCAATTGTTTTCTAAATGAAATAATAATTATTTTTGACCAAATTATATAAATATTTCATCTTGAGCAATAATTCAAACAGTTTCTAAGGATAAGGATATTAATCTGATCTATTTTTTAACATTGAAATATATAAATATGAATAACTGACTGAATCTGGCTTTCAAAAAAAAAAAAGAAAAAAAAAAGGGGCTTTGCCAGGAAGGACCCATCGACAGAGACAACACACAACACTCGACCAGTGATATCTATTATATCTATCATCGATTTGATCTTGCCTATAAATTGTATAAAACTATGAAACTGGAGGAAAATTAAAAAACACCCTTCATCTGTACACAAGCAAAATCGATCTCCGAAACCCTAATCGATTTGCAAGGGTTAGTAAGTAGAGGAAGAGGAAGCTTAAGTTCAAGTGACTTGGGAGGAGTTGCTATTTGGTCTGCCGGAGGCATTCATACCTTCAGGATATTGAGAATGAAGAGTTTATTTAAATCTAAGCCTCGCACTCCAGCTGATATTGTGCGACATACGAGAGATCTTCTCTTATTTGTTGAAAAGAATAATGAACCTCGAGAAAGCAAGCGGGAAGAGAAGGTGCTGAATCAAAAATTTTCTCTTTGCCTTTATCTTTTAGTTTTTTTTTTTTGGTTTGGAATTGCTACCATTGCGATTAGTCAGGTTTTATTGAGCTCATCTCATTCCTTAGTTGCTGTTCGATCGTTCCCTTTTCTATTTTTCAATAGCAATCTAATTCAGGAGTGATCATCTAGAGCAATTTTTCAATGAACTGTTCGAGTTGTTCCCCACTCCTCTCCCTATTTGGTCGAAGAAAATTACTTGCCTTTCTTTGGGGGAAAAAAGAGAGACTTTTATTGATTTCTTTATCATCGTATGATTGAGCTACAAAACGGAGTGTAATTTGGCTGGTTTGGGGATTCTTGTTCATTTGTTTCTTTTTCACCAAATCCACCCATAAGCGTTAACACTTACCAGAACAGTACTTTTTATGATTTTAGGCGCTCAAAACTTAGTTATATAGTAATCCCTCAGAGGTTGGGGTTGAAAGCAAAAGCATGAACGGGCGATGACTTCGTTATGTTAATTCTTAGTTTCATATGACAGGAATGCGGCTCATTATGGTGGATTTTATTGTTTGCTTATTTTATTTGATGCATCTAATAGCAGATGTCCGAGCTAAGTAAAAATATCAGAGAGCTGAAGTCAATTCTCTATGGAAATAGTGAATCTGAGCCGGTTGCAGAAGCTTGTGCGCAATTGACCCAAGAATTTTTCAAGGAGAACACATTGCGACTAGTTATCAAATGTCTTCCTAGATTGAACTTGGAGGTAATGAGGAATTATGGAAGAGATTTCCATATTTTTGCAGTGAAAGTAAAATACTTTTATATTATTATTATTGAGATGATACCATTATTGCATTGTCCTGGTTACTGATAAAAATTAAAACTTTAATCTTATGTCATATTGTTCATGCTTGGTGGTTGCTTGTCTTAATTATGTGCTTTTGCAGACTAGAAAAGATGCCACACAAGTCGTTGCAAATTTACAGAGGCAGCAAGTTCATTCTAAATTGATTGCATCTGATTATTTGGAGAAAAATTTGGATCTTATGAATATCCTGATATTAGGGTAAGAAATTTTTGGATGAATAAATTAATTACATGATATTTTAGTGTGATGACTTCTCATCTCCAAATGAATAGAATTGAAGTACTTAAGTCTTCACTAAGGCTTTCGAAGATAACATATATCTCATGATTTTGTCAAATCAAAGAGCACTTCCTTCAGGGGGAAATTAAGGAGGAAACTGTGATATTAGAATTCTCAAATAGGGGGATTTATTGTGTTAATACTGGAAATAAAATAGCTCTTTTGTCAATCCTTGACATGGAGGTGGTATTTTAAACTTTTAATTGCTCTGGATGATGGTTGTGTTTTATTTCTCTCCCATATTTTCAATTACGTTTGAACCTAATGTCTTTGTGAATCAGACACTGTGGTAATACTTGGTCTAGATCACCAAAGTCTGTGTCTCCGTGGAAAAGAGTGTTTTTACTTTATTAATATTTCATATTTATTTACCTTTTGCTGTTGTTGTTGTGAGCTACATTTTATCTATTTTGATTCAGCTATGGAAGTCACTGACTATTGTTTCTTTCTAGATATGAAAACGCGGATATGGCCTTACACTATGGCGCTATGCTGAGAGAGTGCATAAGACACCAGATTGTTGCTAGGTGAGGAGAAAGTATCAGATAAAAATCATATCTTTTTTTTTTTTTCCAGAACACAATCTAAAACTATTATTGACAGATGGGAACACAATCTTGTTGGTCGTTGTTGTCATTTGTGTTGGAATCATTGTTACTATGCTTCCATACAATTTTCACGCTTGAGAGAATTATGTCAAATGAGAATGTTGGGTGCTTAAATAAAGAACTAAGCCGAAGTGGCTGAAAAGGAAATTGTTCTGGGTCAGTTAATATCTCATGTAATGTGTGATGCTCTAAGCCATTTTGATTTTTCTGTCAGTTATGTACTGCAATCACCGAATATGAGGAAGTTTTTTGATTACATACAACTTCCAAATTTTGACATTGCCGCAGATGCTGCTGCAACATTCAAGGTAGGTATCATCTGAGTGAACTTGTGAAGATAGATAGCTTTTTTCTTTTTCCGGCCACAGAGTGAAGATAGATGGCAGGGTTAAAATTGTGTGTATTATGCGATTCATCTTTAACCGGGTTAAAATTTTGTGTTATGTCAACTTGTTACAGGAACTCATGACAAGACATAAATCTACTGTAGCTGATTTCCTCTCTAAAATTATGAATGGGTAGGTTCTCCTCTTCCAACTTGTGGAAAGTCGGAGTTCATTTGTATTCGTACATTGACAGTGACTTTCTTTCTATCCTTCCTTTCTACCTTAAAAGGTCGTTGGGCAATGTGCTTGATTGTTGTAGCATGTCATAGAAATTGTCATTAGTTAGCAATAATATGGGTAAATTCTTGGGAAGATAAAACTTTTAATCTTGTGGTGTTTCTTGGATCAATATTGGTCCTGTTACTGGATTTCAATACCCAAGAGGCTTTCCACTTCCTTACATTAACCCCTACATTCTTATCATTTGGCATGATTCATGCACACATGTCCGTGCACTTCTTTCACTTGCATAAGTTTGTACTTATCTGTATATCAGTTCCTGCTTTACTTTGTACATGATTTCTTTTAACTGCTCTTATATCTTGGCTACTATCTTTACTCCCATCTATGTTGTTATTGCCGTTGTCAGTTTTTCAAGGAGTATAACTCTAAGCTGTTGGAATCTCCCAATTATATCACGAAGCGTCAAGCTGTCAAGGTACTATGCAAATTTGATATTTATTTTATTTGCAAAAACTTCGAATGAAGAAAGCATGTCCAAGCAACAGAATTTCTTGTCATAAAAATATGACATAGATTCCAAGAAAATTGATCTTTTGCTGTGTAGTATGCCCAACATTTGGACAGTGAATATGATTGAAGAAGCGAAAAGGATATTATCATTGATCATGTAGTCTTAGTCTTCAACTCAAATGATAATATGCATCAATTTACTGTAATAGTTGGCTGCATTCAATTGAATCTTGCTGCATTGATCCGTGTATGTTCACAATGTTTCTTTCTTACAGCTCTTGGGAGACATGTTACTTGATCGTTCAAATTCAGCTGTAATGACACGATATGTGAGCTCAAGAGACAATTTAAGGATTCTGATGAATCTATTAAGAGTATGTTCGCTTTTCATAAAACTTAATGACATGTCTTTTCGAATATGTTTTCTTCCAGCCTTTCATTCAATCATTTGTACTACCAACCCATTCTTCGCCTTTCCTGTTTTGCTCTCAGTGGTACAATGTGAGCTTGATTGATCAAAGTAATTAACATTTCACCCCATTGTTCTGGTGCCCATATGCTTAACTGGGAGAAAAGAGTTGGATGTAGATCTTGTTTAAGCAGACATTTAATAGTTGTTGCTGGTTCCCTTCTGCAGGAGGAAAGCAAGAGCATTCAGATAGAAGCATTTCATGTTTTCAAGGTAACATTGTTATATGATTGTGCAATATATCTGAGAGTTATTCTTGATTCACCTCCTTCCAAGTTTTTAATTTTTGTATTCATGTGTACTGGTGATAACAGCTATTTGTTGCCAACCAACATAAGCCAGCTGAAATTGTTGGCATACTCGTTGCTAATAGAAGCAAACTTCTAAGATTGTTGGGTGACTTCAAGATGGATAAACGTAAGTATTGATATTTCATTAGTTTGTAATTAATGGTGGTATCAATATCACGTTCTAAGAATCACATGTTCTTGGATTATGCAGCTGATGAACAGTTTGATGCTGACAAAGCTCAAGTTATGAGGGAAATTGCTGCTCTGGAACCTAAAAGCAGCCTTGAGTAGCAGACTGTGTTAAGCAGAGCTGCTCTTTTTATGGAACTGTGCATTGCCAGAGTTTTATAGCCTTCATCAAGACTATGTTTTCAAGGCAAATTTCAAAATGCTTCGGATCTGTAATTTTATCACATAGGTAAAAGGTAGATAAATAAATATGCTATCATGAGCTACGTGCCTATTTGGCTTTTCCAGGTGTTAGAACAACCTTCCTCGCATCCTTGTAATTATATGCTGCTAGAGGACAGGCAATAATTTGACATCTCAAATTTGTTGGGTAACAACGGGCTTCTGTGACTTTAAGGAGGCCCAAAAAACAAAAACTTAAAAAACTACCTGTTTCCTGGAAGAGGTATTAAAGTCTGTTTTCTCTTCATCAGTTTTCCCGAACACAGATGGAATTCAAATTGGAAAACACTTCCTAAGAATTGACAGACAACAACCTGAGCTCGCCCAATAATGTACAATAATAGCAAACAAAACGACGGGTTGGAATGTGGCCCCAAATAGCCGGACTATACTCCCTTAGTATAATGCTTATACACTGAAGCATGATACTCATCCAAATCCTGAGGATTCCGGCATCTGCAATGCTAAAGAGCCTACAGTAAACATAGCACCAATCTCAAGTTTCACAGTTTAGGTGAATATAATCTTTAAAAAATTCGTTTCACGATGGGAATGAGATAAAGAATGAAATTCCACAAGACAGCACAAACATATTGTATTGGCCACTTGGCATATTCCTGACACCACACGATCAAAGCATTATTTTTATGTCGTCTCTTTCCATTCACGTCACCTTTTCTCCTTTTCTTATTTTTAATACGGAAGATTTCTGGATATTGAGCCTTCTCATTGTTTCAGGTAGGGCTCATTCTAAAAACCTAAGAAAATAATTAATAAATCATCCCAATATGACACGTGTACGAATGAGTCACGTGTGTATTGATAGAATATTCTTCCAACAAATTGAATGCCAAAGCTGAAGTCCTTTTTCTCAAGGAATTATACGGGTATATTACTAATAGTATAATATATAGCTTATAATTTTTTAAAATATATTGATTTTTTTATATAAGTTACACTTTGTATGTGTATAAAAATTTATTTTTTTTATTCTCATTTATTATGCATCTTTATATTAACTATCGCACATTGACCAAAAATTATTTTTATTTTCTTTTTTAATAGATTCTATCATATATTTTTTACACATTTTTGCATTATTTTTTCACTTATTCTCTCTTACTAGCCCTCTTCATAAATAAGAATATATTCAGCAAAAATACATTTCTTACACATTATTACCTCCAATTCTAAATATAATTTGATATTAAATATAAAAAAAAACCAATTCATTTAGTTTTCTAATTTGTCAAAAGATCCCTGTTAATTAAAGATAATAAAGGGTCTTCATCAAGTAGTAGACACCATAGGCATGATTAAAAATATTATTTTAGATAAATCAACCCACATATATTATAAATAAATAATTTAATTTTTTTAATATTCATAAATTAGTTATTCGGTTGTTATATTAACTTACAGGTTGAAGTATTTTCTAATTAATTTTAAACCATTTTTAATGTAAGTAATTTGCTAACTCAGAAGGGAGTACTACTATTTTCGTGCCAACAAAAAATTACTACTTAAGTCTCATAAAATTTCTCTCGTGTTTGCTTTGTAGTCTATAAAACCACTTTAAAACCGGAGGAGGGTTAGCGCCCAAGCACCACTGAATCATTATCCGTTAGTGAGTCCGAACGTGAAAGCTGAAGAAGTAATCATTGCCTCTCTCTCGCTCCCAGCATCACGTTTCAGAAACTCTACTCATCTCCAGATCAACCGCAAATATGGCTGACGTTGGTACGGTACCATCAATCAACCTCTTCATCATTCTTTCTTGTTTCGTCTGGCAGGGTTCTTACGCCTTTTCTGTTTTTGTTTGGATTTCACTGCAACTTAATTGAACGATAGATTCGCTCCCGGAATTCCTCGCGTCTGCAATCGATGCTGCTCGGAAAGCTGGCGAGGTCAGTTATTACTGGACTTCACTTTCTTCCCAAATCCAATATTTTTTTTTTCCCACTCCTGTTTCACTTACTCATCTCGTTTGTGCAAATGATTACCAGGTCATTCGAAAAGCGTTCTACGAGACCAAACATGTGGAGCATAAAGGACAGGTTTGCACTGCAAATGCGCTTCTACCAAACTTCGTTTTTTCCCCTAGTGATTGATTATGGGTCCCATTTGTCACCTGCCTACACAAAAGTAGATTTTTATTATTTTAAATTTTAATGCTTCTTTATCATCAAGTTCATACCAATTCGTGCATTGTTATCACCAAGGGGTATATAGATTTTTAATCTCTATAGATTGAAAGGACGGGAAAATCATTTCTGCCATGGCCGGTGCCTCACCGGCCAGCATTATGGGGCTACCGTTGATTGTTCTGAGGATTTATTGTAATTTACTCTAAAATCTTGAATTTATTTAGAAAATTTGTTAAGTGCAAACCACCTTCGCAGCAGCCGACCGTCTATTTTAGATGGTCAGTTGAACTAACAGTCACAAAAACAGCAGTGAAGTAATTTCTAGCGGAAGTGAAGAAGAACACCTGCATAACTATGAAATGTTCCCGCAAGATAAAGCGTCGAGGGCTTCCGCATGGCGGGGCCGCATGGCGGGGCTCGCGTCTCGTATCATGATCTATAGATACTAATAAATCAGTTACTATCCCATTTGCTTTTATATGGAAAACGCAGTAGAAAACTTGAAACTGACTCCAAACGACGAGAACTTGTTTTATGAAAGTGAAGAAGAATAACAGTATACCTAAGAGAAATTCTTGAAAGATACATGTAGAGCTTCCATATGACAGAGCTCATCTCTTGATTAAGTTGAAATATAGAGTTTAAGAAGATACCTAAGGTATCTGTAAGCTATTATGGAGAGAGAAGTTGTGGGTACTCTAATTTTTCTCTGTTCTTTGAAAAATAATTCAGATGGATGGTG